GGTGTGTGCACTTTTGGGAGGGGTGTATCTTGTTAACTTAACTTTATCCTCTGTTCTGCCAATACCTTAAATAGGTCTAAGAGACACCGGACATTTCCATACCACAAACACAAGACAGAAACAAAGAGATCAGCCATCCCAGGATGTAGCCTGCATCCAGCTTTCTCAGGTTCCCGCCTCAAGACAATGCCCACAAATAAGCAGGAAGCAGTCTTGAGAATCTGCCATCCCAATTCCTTTAACCTGTTGTGCCTAACCTCCTGTCTTTTTATTATAAGAAAGAAATGGGAATGTAATGGTCTGTCCTGTCTTTTAAGAGGCAAGTGGATCTTCCTTCCTCTTCCAGCCTGCGAGCTCTCTCTCTGCCCTGTCTCTCTTTGGAAGAGGTAGCTGTGGCCTCTTCTCTTCTCCCCTCTCCTCTTTTTCTCCCTCTCTCTTTCTGTGTCTCTGTCTGTGTGTGTGTGTCTCCTCTCTCTCTCTCTCTCTCTCTCTCTCTCTCTCTCTCTCTCTCTCTTTCCCCTCTTCCCTTTTGCTGAATAAACTATATCCAAACCCTCTCTCTGCATGGCATGCCTATCTGTCTCCCACAGGCCACAGCTCCTCATAGAACTGGCTGTCACATCAAGGTCTCTCACTTGCCACCTCCCACCTGCCTGGGACCCACAGAGGCCTTGGGTGGTGGGACCTAGCTTCCCCTTGTGGCTTGCTGCCACCCCTCAGGGAACTGCGCCATTTTATCTAAACCATAAGTCTCATACTCTCTGTGCGTCCAACATATTGGAGTGATCGGAGAGCCCCCATCTCAGTTGGGTTTTTATAATAGCAAGGGTGGGGGTGAGGGATTTCTAAGGTTCAGGACCCCTGATTGATGACATTTGTCTAGGGTGAATAGCGATGGGTGTGTGCTGGCAGGTGATCCTGTCTACAATGGTTGGAACATTAGGAATTTCCTTTGGATGGTCTGTTCCTGGGTGGTGCCTGGGTAGTCTCAGTTTGTGATCTTTCTTGGAACCAGGTATTGCCTTAAGTAAACTACTAAGATTCAGGTATTTATTGAGCTTGTCATGGCTGGATCCTACACAATCATTCATTTGACGTGTTCTATTCAATATCCTCTCAGCAAGCTTTTGCACCAGGGTCGTCACAGGAGACTCTTACCATGGCCTTGACAACTTTACAGGCATCCAGATTGTTGACCTTGCTCTAAGAATATATAATTCTTAAAAGTAAGTTTAAAAACATTTTAGAGTCAACACTTGTATGAAGGGTACAGCGTTGATAACAGATGCTGTAATTTATGAGGTGCCATTGTCTAGGCCCTTTCATTAGTAAGTAAGGTAGTGGTACACATGCCAGAAAAGAGTGGCTCTGATTTAATCTAAAAGACAAGTTATATTTATTATGCTTAATGCTTAATTTTCCTTCCTGTGCCTTAAAAGGGTAGAAGGCACTTGTCAATTTCCACATGTTAGTCTGAAACAAACTGTCAAATTGCAGAAGAGGACCTGCCATTCCAACTCCATGCCGTCGAATAGGTTCATTAATAGAAGCATCAATTTCCACAGTTCCATTCAATTATACCATTTACATCTTAGCTCTGAGTGAAAATATTTTCTTTCCTTAGGCAGAGCCAAAAGGACTCCAGTCTATGACATCTCGTTGGGAGATATTAGTTAACACTGGAGGCTCCTCACTTTTACACTGTTGCCAGTGCACTAAATTAGATTCCTTGTTGGTAACCACATCTCACAGAATGGCAGATTTAGTAACATTAATCTCCTGCCCTTTAAAACCAGATGCTTGAGGCATATAAAACTTTTTAAGGTAATCTCAGGTAGTACTGACTATCGACAGCCATACTTGAGAAGTTATTGTTAGTTATTTTAGTTATTTGAGTTCCATTTTCCATGCAAACAAGAATTCCTTTTACACCCACAGTGTAATTGTCAATCACTCTACCCTCCTCCATTGGCTGAGAAGGACTTTTGTTTCCATATGGACCAGGTGTAATCTGCTGACTTTGTCTGTCATAAGGGTACCCTGTCCCTTTAAGAGACAATCTCCACCCACTCCCAACCTTCCCCTTCCACTAGGCAAGCGGATCCATCCCCCCCACACTTCCCCAGGCAGGAGTTCCTTCTGTTTATGTGTTACTTTCATTGGTTGAATAAAGAAACTGCCTTGGTCTAATTGATAGTTACCCCCTTGTGATTATCACTGGTATTTTCGGAATTTTCCAATGACGCTCTCCCTACCCCCTTTGGGTTGTGGTTTCTTTCCCTAAATACCCTCTCTCCAAGCTACTCAGGGTCAAACTCCTCTACTCCTGTGTGGGAAATGAGTTTTGGCCCTAGCACACTGGTTCCTGTCAATAAACCTCTTGTGATTGCAGCAAGGATGGTCTCTCGTGAGTTCCTGGGGGGTCATGTTATCCTGAGACTTGAGTGAGAATTTCCCCACTCCAGGGGTCTTTCATTTGGGGGCTTGTCCCAGGATTGGTGACCACCCTTGTCTCTGGAGACCCACTTAGAGGTGAGACATTGTCTGTGACTTTGTGTTTCCATGACAGCTGAATTCAGGTTCTGTACAGGTAACTCCCAGTTTCTCAAGATTATTCTCAAGATTATAATCTAACTTTATGGTTAGCTAGTTCCTGGAACAGAGTCACTGAACCCCTAACCTAGATTTTTGTTTCTTCTCTCCCTGCTAGATTTTTGGCTCTATTCTTTCTGCTAGAGGGGTCCGGATTTATCTGGGTCTTACATAGATCTAATCTACGTGGGAAGTAGAAAGTATAAAAAGACAAGATCTCCTGAGTAAATTGGGAGCATGGGGAACTTGGGAGAGGATTGAAGGGAGTAGAAGAGAGGCAGGGAGGGGAGCAGAGAAAAATGTGGAGCTCAATAAATATCAATAAAAAAATAATAAAAATAAAAAAATTCCCACCATGGCTCTGAAAATGTGGTTTCTCCTTATAACACTGACAACCATCATTTTGACTAAGGTCAGGTCAGGTGACCAAGTCCCGCCATCTTAACTAAGGGCAGGTTAGATAACCAAGCACCATCTTTACTGAGGTATTCCTTGCCTATTCTTGTGGTTTATTTATGTTTTGTCTCTAAATTCCTCCAACTGACTCTTACATGTGTTGTTTTGGGCAGTGGCATGCTTTTGGTAGGGCCCACCAAAGCATTCTCTTCACCCAACTCCTGTTTTATGTTTGTGTGTGTGTGTGTGTGTGTGTGTGTGTGTGTGTGTATGTGTGCATGTGACTTTTGAGTTAACTTTATGTACAAACATAAGTTAGCTTTAACTCTATGTGTATAAAACTTAAATTCAAGTGGGTGTAAATGTACATATACTTACAGTTAAATGTTTTAATTTTCTGTTCATTGTATTTCATTCCAAACTAAGAAAACAATAAGTCTCATGTTTTAAATTGGTATGTACTCTTAAGTCTCTTACAAAAATATTGTATATGTGATTTAACTCTGCTTTAAAATATATTAAGCTGTTCTCCACTATTGTCAGTTCTACTGTTAAACTTCTATTGCAAACAGTTTTTTTTTCTTTGTCTTTCACAGGTATAAATCTCACCTAATAAGAGCCATCACTGTCAAGCTTGGACCCAACTCTCCAGGCAGATTCTATGCTGTAGTTATAACTTATCCATACCTGGTAAACAGCCCTCAACTGCTCAGAGATCCAATACGCCATTCCCCACAGCCACAAGGACATACCCCCACATAAGGACACACTCTTCTCACAAGACCTTGCCACCTCCCTGAGACAAGCATCCTCCCCAAAGGACACTCCCCCTCGTGGTATGATGTCCTGCTGGCCTGATTCCAGAGGGATAGCAAGCAACCTCCACTAGCCACAAAACCCCGCTGGGTTCTACCTGGCCTGGTTCTGGAGTTTTCATACAGGGCCCTTTTTTCTTTCTTTTTCTTTTTCTTTTTTTCTTTTCTTTTTTTCTTTTTAGGAAGTGTGTGTGTCTTGTTAGAGGGGACTTGTTCTTGTGGTAGTGGGCTTGTTCCTGTGGAATTGGGCTTGTCCTTGTGTGAGGAGGTGTGTCCTGGGAGGGTTGGCGTCCTTCGAGGAGGACTGTGTCTTTTGCCCTTCCTGGAGAGAGTGTACTCATTTCAGGAAGCTACCGTTGTCGGGGGTGGGGGTGGGGAGTCTGGGGGGTGTATCCTGTGGAAGTGGGAGTGTCTTTGTCTGAGAAGGTGTGACATCTTTGGAGAGGCACTTCCTTGTGGGAGGGTGCATTTCCTTGTGAGGTTTGTGTCTTTGGGGAGAGGGCTTGCACTAGTGGTAGGGGGCACATTCTTGGGGGGGGGCATGTCATTGCAGGAGGTGCGTCCTTGTGGGAGTGGGCGTGCCTTCCTGGGATGGGCGTGCTCTTGTGGGAGGAGGTGTATTCTCGTAGCAGCGGACTTGTGGGAGGGGTTGTGTCCTTCAGGCAGGGGGCGTGTCATTGAGGGAGGTGGCCCGTTTCAGGGAGGGGGCATGTTCTTCAGGGAGCAGGTGTGTCGCTGTGCTAGGAAAACTTGTCCCTCAGTAAGGGAGCACGTCCTTGTGACACACCCTCTCATACAAGACACAGCCCCGACGATAAGGGGAAGCCTCCTGTCACAAGGACACTTCCCCTCCCGCAAGGACACGCCTATTCCACAAGGACACGCCTCCACCGTGTGGATGTGTACAAATGAGCTCCCTCAAAAAGAATACATGTAGATGAGCACCCATCCACATGAACATATGAGAGCACCCGTATGAATATATGCAAATTAACAGCCAACCATATGAATACATGAGAAGGAGCACTCATATGGATGTATGCAAATGAACACCAACCATAGGGCTATATGCAAATGAGTCACCATATGGATATATGCAAATGAGCGACAACGTGGATGGGTGTATTCAAATGAGCATTCATCTGAATATGCGCAAATGAGAACAATCTGAAATATTGAAATGAGCACTCGTCCACATGAATATGCAAATGAGCACCTGTAGGCCTACATGCAGATGAGCAGCCCATAGGAACTGCTAAAACAGAAAGGCTCGGGGATCCAGGCCTGCCCGTTAGTTTTATCATTTTAAACAGTATGTTTTTAAAATCGTTTATTTATTTATTTATTTGGTTTTCGAGACAGGGTTTCCCTGTGTAACAATCCTAGCTGTCTTTGTAGGCCGCACGACCTCAACATCTTCTGGGACGTCTCCACCGCCAACGTGCGCCTGCAACGAGAGCTGCGGCGGCACCGGGAAACGGCAGCCTCTGAGGCGGAAACAGTCTCAATGGGAAACGGAAATGCCTCTCCCGGGGCCGCGAAGGGCACTGGGAGAGCGAGTCCTGATTATGCCACGGTGACGATCTAGGAGGCAGAAGCGGAAACACCCCTCACGGAGTCGCCAAGGACTCTGGGAAAGCGAGTTCTGAAGACGCCACGGTGACTGTTGACGCGGAGGAAACGGCCTCCGCGGATTTGGGGATATTATAAGCTAAGACTTGGCTTCCTGATGGAGCAGGTAGTGGGGCATGAGTGCTGTCTGCAAGGTCACCAACTAGCCTCCAATTTTATGAACTCCAGTGTGCTAAGTACACGGCTGTGAGTACCTATAGCCTCTGGCACACACTTGCCTTTGGGATGAAGGGTTTTGTCACTATTTAATGTGGTATCCTAGCAGGCTTGGTTCCAGTGAAGCACACAGATACTTTACCTTCTGATTGATGCTCAGCCCTCAATATAAAGCAGAGTAACATGCACATTTAACCATATCTGCCTTGTATTCTGAATCGTCTCTAGATGCTGCATGACCCCTAAATGCAGTCTAAATAAGCTGCCATGCTCTTCTGCTTAAGGAGTAACGGGAGACAAAGCTTTTCCAAACCCACAGAGTGGTGACTGCCGTTATCGTTATTGTCCCCTAGCTTACAGTAAAGTCACATATGCAACATCACGGGAAATACACAAGAAAAATATATATGATCAACAGGAAGAAAACACCTAGAATTTGCTGATATTTTCATAGAAAGCTGTTGAAATTAACACGGGTCGAAAAATAGCAGACTAATTACAAGATAAACCAATTATATTTTTCTTTATTATAAGGGGCAAACTCACAAAACAGGACCAAGAAGTCCAAGCTCAGCTGTGTAGCGAGGGAACCAGAGAGAGAGAGAGAGAGAGAGAGAGAGAGAGAGAGAGCACAAATCCTGGACCACCCAGCTTTTTTCTCTGGGTACCCAAAAGGTCACGCCCTAACCTGGTCCCACCTCTTAAAGATCATTGGTTGACAAAGATTTCCCGTCAGAAAGCAGGAGAAACAGGTTCAGGGCCATCTTTGACTACATAGAGAGCTTGAGGCCAATCTGGGCTACACAAGGCCCTGTTTGCAAATAAAATAGTTAAAAATAAAATGTACAAAACAGAATAATAATTAGAAACACACTGTACACCTGTCTGTCAAGACGGGCCCATCTCCCGAAAAGACCTAGTAGACTTAGCCATAATTAGTTAATATGCCTGTATGGCTGCTTATCCTCAGCTTTCCCCAGTCGTGGCTCCCATACAGTGATAGCAGGTGTGTGAGGGAGCCCTATGGCACTCTCAGTGCTCATTGTGTCTCCCTTTGTGCCTTGCTCCCAGGATGATGGTGCAGGGCTACTGCCGGTCCCTAGAGAGCGGAGACCTCTGGTCACTGAATAAGGAGGACACATCAGAAGTTGAACCTGTGCTAATAAATAACTGGAAGAAGAAATTCCGCTAAGTCAAGGAAGTGAGTGTCAGGTTTCTTTGTTCTCAGGCAAGGCAGATATGGCCTAGGCTGACCTGTTACCTCCCTTTAACCACTGGGTCCTGGGGATTGAACTGTCAGGCTGGACAGTGGTGCTACTGAGCCGTCTCACTGGCTCTGTGCTTCCAGTTTCTCCTCAGGGTTTTCTGAGCTGTTCATGAGATAAATACCATCTGATGGGCCATGCCTCCATGCTGGATCAACCCTGGGCAGCTTTTCCAGACAAGTTGTGTTTATTCATCTGGGGCAGATTTGGCCTGGGCACTTCTGTTTTGCTGGAGAGGGGATGGCAGGAACTGGCCCACTAGGCTTGAAAGCTGCCACCCAAAGACTGACTCCATGAAGACCCTGACCTTCAGGGATGCTCATCTTGGTGAGGGATCACTTGCTCTTTTTCCTAGAGGTGTGAGCACATTTCACACCTGTGGATAGGGAGTGGTAGGGAGCAAATCTTGTCGGGCCAGAAGTTGACATGACCACTTATCCAGAGAAAAGGTGTAAGCTGAGATGGATTCTGGGTGGCAGAGAGTTCTGGTTGTCCAGGAAGTGGTGAGAGAGGCCTGGGTGGGAAGTCTGACTTGGTTTCTTGGCCCTAAAATTTCTATAGAGAAATCTGGTATGCCCTGCCTCCTGCTCCTCCCTTTGTTTCTGGCCCAGTGATTCCTTGGTTTGTGATAATATTTTGTGTTCTCCTCAGCCTGTGCTCCCCTTATGTGAGGCTGTTTTGGGTCATGTTTCCTGTTGGCATGACTATCTAGTGGTTCAGTGGCTGTGGAAGAGTTTGAGTGGTGTTTTTGTTTTGTTTTTGAATTAAATGAAGTCACTTATCTGTTGTCATTCTATCCCTAGGCAGATGCCCAATAGATCTGGAAACTTAGGTTCTCAAAGGCTTGTACAGACTTGTAGCTGCCCTGTTTGTGATAGCGCAAAACAGAATCAAACCCAGACACCCATTAGGATGTAAGTAGAAGTTGGAATCACTGCTCAGAGCAGAGGGAGGAAGTGCAAAGCTCTTATGATAAGTGGGAAGTGGACAGGTCCTCATCCCTCCAGTATTCAGTGCCTATATGGAGGGTGTGCCAGCAATGTCCAGTGTATCTAATTAGGAAAATCAGTCTGGAGAGATGGCGCAGTGAAAGTACCTGATGCTCTTCCAAAGGATTCTAGTTTGGTTTCTGGCACCCATGCCGGACAACACGAAGGGCTTCAGGTTTATTCAGGACCTCTTGAATAGATGGAAGAATTGTCAGTCTTCAAGTCCATCTCGGGGAACTCATGGCTCAAAGAGCTCTTTTCTAAAAATGTATTTATTTATTATATATACAGTGTTCTGTCTGCATATATGCTCGACGCCAGAAGAGGGCGCCAGATCTCATTACAGATGGTTGTGAGCCACCATGTGGTTGCTGGGAATTGGACTCAAGACCTCTGGAAGAGCAGTCAGTGCTCTTAACTTCTGAGCCTCTCTCCAGCCCTCAAAGAGCTCTTACAGAGGGGGATTGAGTTCTACGTCAAGGCTCGATTACTGTCCTTGACCTTTATGGGGTGTTTACCTTCCTCTCAGTTGGAACCTTCCCCAGATTATCAATGGCCTTGTCTCCTGAGTAAGTTTCTAATTCTTTAGGTGAACACATTATTTTCAGGAAAGTTAAATATTTTTTAAATTTTAGAGCACATGAGCAAGTCCTTAGTCCTTCACTTGGATCTTATTTAAAGACCACTGGTGTTCCATGTTCTGACTAATAAAAAGTATTCTTTTAGGAGGGTTGGGGACCAGAGGTGGTTCTTTCTTACCCCTTCCTCCTGTAGTAGTTGACTGTAATACCTCATGTGTCAGCCATCATAAGGGTTTTTATTGTTGATGCTGGTTTAGAAGTCAGGGCACCAGGCAAACGGCAACAGAATATCTTTACCAGGGGATAATTTGTAAAGGATGGCTTATCTAAAAATAGGTAGTATAAAATGAAGTAGCTATTAATTGCTCTAACAGGTGATGGTTTAAAGGACTGAGGTATAATGGGCAGAGAGGCAGTCAAATGGACAAATGATAGACCGTGCCCTGACTTACTTGCCTGCCCCTGCCTGTTGTTGTGGGATTATGCGGTCACTGATCTATTCTTCTCGGTCCTTACAGAGAACTTTCCAGTCCTCCAAGTGGGGCTTCAACAGGACCCAATCCTCCAGCAGCTTCTTTTTCTCCTGCCTCAGCATGCCCACTTTCTTCTCTAGCTGAGTCTGTTGTATCAGGAGCTGGCTGTGCAGACCACTGGAGACATGCCCTGCATAGTAAGGCCCTGCCAGCCTCCTCCTGCTACCCCTGCCTCCAGGAACCAGCACCCCGAATGGCCTCGTAGTTCCTCGAAGACTTAGCCAAGAGTCTGATACAGCCTTGACAGCTGCACTCAAAGCCAAAATGAGAGAACAGCTAATATTGGAAAGTATCAAACTACTAAGGAAAACTCCAAAACCCAAAAGGATCCATGTCTCTTCAATAGGAAGAGGAATCTCCCAACTGTCCTTAACTGTCCATAGTAGTGGGGAAACATCAGCAAGTGGTGGACAAAACACCCTCCAGGGGAAGACAGGCGACCCAAGGTGAGTATGTTCTAGCCATAGGTTCCACAGGCACCGTATCTGTAAAGCCTGCTCCTGAGCTCCAGATGCCCAAGGCTGCCTGACGTTCCCCTCACACTGCAGATCCCTTTTCTACCTAAAGCCTCATGAGACTCTAGGACAAGGTGACAGGGGTAACTGTCTCTTTCACACTTATCAAAACTGAGTCTATAAGACCGAAGTCCAGCGTGCTAAGAAGCTGAAAGACTGGATCCAGAGTTAGGGACTCTTCATCCAGAGAAAAAGAAAGGCAGACTGGCAACTTTTGGGGTCTGTGACAAGATGGGCCCTTACCGATAGAAGACTGTCTCCTTGGTCAGCTCACTGAACTTCTCTGAGGCACTTGCCGATAGAAGACTGTCTCCTTGGTCAGCTCATTGAACTTCTCTGAGGCCTCGGTGTTCTCTTTCTCCAAACTCTTCACTTCTGACATGACCTGATCATGTTTCAACTTCAGCTTTTCATAGAAAGGATTTGGCTTGTGATAGGCCTAGAAACAGGAGGAAAGACCCCATGAACACCGGCCTCAAGGATCACGGGAACTCAAGTTGTATCCTGGTTCACCACATACATCCCTGTGGATGCCACATTCTGCCTCCTGTGGCCAGGGTCTTCCTGCTGATTTTAAATTGGTATCTTGGCCCCAGGACTGCTGTAGTTCAATGATCTTATACCCTGTAAAGATTTGTCACTTGTATTGGTTTAATAAAATGCTGATTGGCTGGTAGCCAAGCAGGAAGTATAGGCGGGGTGGCCAGAATAGGAGAATTATGGGAAGAGGAAAGACTCAGTCAACACTCATCACCCAGATACAGAGGACACAAGATGAAAATGCCTCACCGATAAAAGATACCAAGCCATGTGGCTAACACAGACAAGAATTATGGGTTAGTGTAAGATGTAAGAGTTGATTAATAAGAAGCCTGAGCTAATAGGCCAATCAGCTTGTAGTTAATGGAGGCCTCTTGTGTATTTTTTGGGACTGAATGGCTGCAGGACTTGGTGGAACAGAAACCTCTGTCAACACAGGACAGCTGAGACTTGGCTTCAGATGGAGGGTGCCCTGGCTGCATGAACTCACTCATTAGGCCTAGAGGGTCAGTCTAGCTCTCTGTGTTACCAGAAGTCTATGACACAGATCTTGGCACTCCACATATTGTATTGACATTTCTCCCATTTCACAATAGGGATTCTAGGTCCTGAGTGACATTTCTGAACAGTTAGAGCACATGACTCTGGATTTTAGACCCAAGAGCAGGACAGTGATATAAACTTCCAAGGAATTTGTAGGTGCCATCAAGGTGAGCATGTAGGATAGAGCCGTGATGCCTAAAGTGGGGCTCCTGGACCTCAGCACCTGGAAGGTGGGGCAGGCAAATCCTCAGGACCTACCACAGATCCCTGGCTCCCAGAACCTGTAGAGACACACATCAGAGAAAGAGAGAGAGAGAGAGAGAGAGACCGATAGAGATATGGAATGGAAGAGTGCCCACAAGTGGATGCTAAAGTGTCGTTGCCACCTCGACCAGCAAGGACAACACCGACTCCGGAGCTCTTCTTGCACGCAGTTTTTATTCAGGACCTTTTTTACAAAGCGCTTCTTGCGCTTCTCGCTTCTCTCACAGGTCAAGCCCCTCCCAGCCCTTAAGTAGGCCTGGGCTGCCAACCCTGGATTGCCACGTAGGCACTGTCCATAGGTATACACACACACACACACACACACACACACACACACACACACACACGCAAGCATCTTGCGATCATCAGGTGAGAAACGCAAGAGCCTGACCATCTCCAAATATGGGGTTGTTTACCCCAGAGAGTGCTTGCCTTCGGGATAGCGGGGGGTGGGGCGGAAGCCAGCATCATTTTCAAGGTGCAGCTCCACGCAGCTCTCCACAGCGCCCCCTTTTTGTTTTGCAAAGCAGCAGGCGAGAGTAGAGGTCTGATCTCTGTTAAAAAATGAAACATGTACTATTGTCTATCCAGGTGTCCTCCACCCAGAAAACACTAGACCCACTTGGTGCCCTTTTCACAGAGGTGGAACATAGGCACCGACCCACATGCAATCAGACTTGCTCCCCTTGAGGTAGATGTAATCACCCTCAAGTGCAGTGCGCAAGCCTCACATCCTGTGCTTACATCTCTTTTAAAGTAGTTAACCAAGCTTGAGGGGACTGTCCTGCTTCAATAGCCGTGAAAGCTTGTATGATCAGGGCTGCATTGCGACGTTGTAAGGTTCTCATGCGACAAATACACCACAGACATACCAGGGAGGCAAGCACCATTAGGCCTGTCAGGGCTCCTATTCCCGCCCACTCCTTAAAATAACTAAAAGTCCATTTCAGCATATTGAGAAAAGCATTAGCAGTAGGTAATTCCAGCCGTGTGGCATTCAGGGAAATGATCTGGTTAGTAAAGGTGTCCGTCAGGTTCTCGAACTCCTTGCTTCACTTTCCCTGGAGGTATTCACTCAGCTGCCGGCTCAGGTTACCGTTCTGTGTAAAATTCTCAGCCAGTCTGGAAGTAATACATAAAGAGGAGAGGGAATGAATACATCCTATACTGGTTAAGGTTACTAAATCATCCACTTGCTCTTGCAAGAGATCTACTCTTTGGTTTACTGTCAAAATGCCAGCCTTTAAATGGCCATCGATGGATTTCAGAGTGGTCATTGTGGAGGCTGTTCTCTCCACGATTTCATTAACTGTCTCTGCAATCTGAGTTGTTGCAGCCATGGCAACAGCAGCTGTTGTGGCAGCTGCAGCAGATACAGCAATTGCGGAGACGAGGGCTGCTGTTATCCCAAAGTCTCATTTTGTTCTGAGCAAATGAGCGATTGGGAAGGTACCAGTATCAACTCTGACTGGGATGGGAACATATGTGGAACTCTCATCACCACAGCTGTGTTATAAGTACCATCCCAGCATTAACTTGCGAGGCAAGTTGCCTTGGAGGTATTGCAATAGATCACATACTTTGTGGCATTGGTAATATTAGTCAGCAAAAAGAAGAAGGGTGCCTTTAAGCACACTGGACTGGCAGGAACAATAAGGTTGTCCATCATTTTATTTATAGTAACATTTGAAAGAACGCCCTTCGCATCTCTGCTGGCAGAGATGTTAAGTAGCCGAACAGTCAGGTCACGAAGGGCAGCAAAAGGCTCTCGGGATGAAAAGACCCCTCTTTCATTAGAAAGAATCCACTGAAACCAGGGCCAGGTATTTTTCTTATTGGTTTTCTGATCAGTCCGATTAGCAAGATTAAAGGAATATCTCCCTAAAGGAGGGGTAAATTCAAAACCTGGTGCAATCTGCGTTGACCTATGATCTGGGCTTTGACATGGTGTCCAATGAGGAGGATACCCTAAATTAGGGGCACAATAAGGTAACACTTGTCGAGTGGTGCAATTCTCTAATTCAAAGCGTGAACTTGAGGGCCGAAGCCCTTCCATCAATATTAACAGGGTAGTGATACTTGTGGCATTACTACTGTTTTTACCGCTGCCTGTGCCTGAGGAAGCACCCGTATTTATTGTTTGCAGTGCTTCCGCGAGCATGGCGAGAGGAATATGATTATCGGTCAGCGGGTCAAGGCAATTACCTACCGAGCCATTCTTCAACCATATACATGGGTTAGAATTATTTTCAAGAGAAAAACATAAGGCTCCTTGAAGAGGAACATCAGCTGCATTATAGATAGCCAGGGTAAGCCTAATTCACAACTAGTGGAAAAAAAGACTGGTAAAACTTTTGACGTAGGATGAACAGGTATAGGAATCGGCCATGCTTTTGCTATGGTCCACAAAATTTGTTCATTGGCCTGGATCAGCAACGGGGACATCACCATCAGTAGGATCACAGTTGGAGGCTTCATCTTGCTCGTCATTCCTCTGCACTTGTACTTTTCTCACCAAGCGCTCCGGTACCCAAATAGGGTCCAGATGATCCTGTGGAAAAACAAACAGAACCTCATGGCCCATGCCAGCACGGGATCAGGGCCATGCCAGACCCCTGTCAGAGCATCCTTCCAACACACCAAGCCTTTGGAGGGACCAGACCAATTGGAATGCCTGTCTGCAGCTGATTGGGCAGAGCAATCCAAATTTTAAAAGTTCAAGGTAAATAAGGTTAAAGAAAGTCTATTCTTAGGGGACTGTGCATGTGCTATTCCCCCTTTTTGTTTTTGAAGCATCACTTTCAAGGACCTGTGGGCACGTTCCACAATGCCTTGTCCTTGTGGATTATAGGACGGACCATGTACCAACTGTACACCCATACGTTGGCAGAATGATATAAATTTTGACCTGTATAGGCAGGCCCATTATCTGTTTTAAGTTGAGAAGGTTTACCCCATGCTGCCCAAGCCTCTAGGCAGTGAGCAATAACATGGTTGGCCTTTTCTCCAGTCATAGGTGTGGCATGGATAATACCAGAACAGGTGTCCACTGAAACATGTACATATTTCAGGGTTCCAAATTCTGAAATATGAGCAACATCCATCTGCCAAACCTTTTGAGGTAAGAGACCTCGAGGATTCACTCCAAGCGTAGGAGGATGGTGATGTACCACACAGCTTGGACAATCGACAACTATCTTTCGCGCATCAGCACGAGAGAGAGTAAATTTATGCTGTAAGGTTTTGGCATTGACATGATATTCTTTATGAAATAGTTGGGCCCTTTGTAGGGCAGATGCAAGAAACATCCATTCTTGTCTGGTGCATAGATCGACCTTGTTGTTACCTGCAGCCATAGGCCCTGGCAAACCTGTGATGCGGGAGAAATGTCTGTATTTTGTCAATCATATTTCAATAAAACGCTGATTGGCCAGGCAGGCAGTATAGGCGGGAAAACCAGACAGGAAGTAGAGGTGGAGCAAAGAGACTTGGATTATTCTGGGACACAGGAAGCTCTCTCAGCATTCCTGTGCAGACCACTGAAGAGGCAGCATGTAACCTGCCCAGCTGAGAAAGGTACGGAGCCATGTGCTAACATAGATAAGGATAATGGGGTAACATAAGTTATAAGAGTTAACAAGAAGCCTGACCTAATGGGCCAATCAGTTTATAACCTAATGTAGACTCCGTGTGATTTTCCTTGGGACTTGCTGGCTTGTTGGGGTACTGGGTGGGACAGAAACCCCAACAAGCCGGCCCTCATGTTACAAACCTGTATGGGCACGAATGTGCTGTGAAAAGAAAAGGTGTTTCCGCTGACAAATCAGCAACTGCAACTGAACAAACAACGAATACACTGGGCTGGAGGCTTTTATAGGTCCAGCGCACTCAAGGTGCTTGAGAGCATTTACTACATAACAAGAATCAGAAACTAAATTAAATGGGAAAGGGCAAGATTTAAACACCTCAATCACAATCAATAACTCTACTTGTTGAGGAGCTCCAGGATAAAACTGATGTTTAACAGGATCACTGGAGTCTATCATATATGTTTCACACCCAGTTTTTGACCCAACGGTAAATATGACACTAGCACAGGAAATGGGATGGGAGGCAATGATCTTGGGAAAAATCACCAGAGGTTCCTTAAAAAAAGTCATGAAGGGATGCTTGGGGAAGTGACAATCTATGGGTCCCCCATAGGTACGGCGTAAAATCACCCAATCATCTATGGCCGCACATAATGTTTTAACTTGACTTACATCATCTGGAGTAATTAATTTATCCGGCAAGGCTCCAAAATGTTGTACTCAAGTTTGAATGCCCTGCAAAGCAAGTGTAGCAAGGGCAGCAGGATAATATTCTATAG